TGAGTTTGTTCAACTTTGAATTCTTAGTTATCCCTAAATCTTGTAAAAACTTTGTGGTTCCTCAAAAAAATAAAAGAAACTAAATATTAAGTAATAAGGTGTAATAAGGTGATTTTTTACATGTAAAAAAGCAACTGTATACTTTGGGTTTTACATGCCCAGCCTGATCAATGTCAACATTGTCATATTCCAATTTAACATTTTTCCAGTTTAGCTAAGTTTTTGTAAAGTTTAAATCATTTAAACATGGAAAATGTTTAGAATACTTCCGGGTATATAGCAGGAGCCACTGTTATATTTTTACTGCCTTGTATTGACATTCTAGCCACTTTAATAAGCTGCTGAAACTATCAAATTTTAATTTTATTTTCAACAGTCTTAGAGTTACAAATCAACTCAAAAATTCAGATTGGTATTTCAATTACATTTAAGTAGTAGAGCTATTAGTAGTGTGACCTTTGAAAGCTGGCTGCTTTTGGTCAAATCATTTTCCCACCCTCCTTACAGACATAATTTGACCTTCTTGGGCCTCAGTTTCTCCCTCTGTAAACTAATATCAGCTATGATATTTAAACAAATCTGGGCAAAGTGCTCAGCCCAGAACCCAGCACAAATTAGCTATTACAATGTCATTATATCTTGATAGTCAATTAACTACAACAATGTCACTGTATGTTGATGATCAATTGTTAATGTAAATAGAAGTAAACTTGTTCATCATGGTACACATTCTTTGTAATAGTTCCTTTTACATTGACTCTCAGTGAGTTGACTATTTGGGGTGCAGGGAAGCAAAATCATTTTATTCACAAAGAACTTCATCATTCTCTATAATGTGTTAAATCCTCCATAAACAAATCTGGAAATATGTATTCTTAATCATTCACCTGGTGTAAATTTAGAGAGAATGCTATTTTTTCCAGTGCAAACAAAATAAGTAGAGTATGCTAGTAAAGGTGTTGTTTCTTTAATACTGTCAACTACAGATAGAATTCCACTATCAAAGGAAGATTCAGATTGACCAATAACTTGATAAGACCATGTCTAAAGTTTTATATATTCAATTGTCTCACTGGGGATAGCTTCTGCTGAGTTTCTGAGCAATGGCTACCCAAAGAGATTAAGGAGAGATTAAAGACATGCAAATTATAAATAAGTCACTGATAAATTTTAAAATTCAGAACTAGTATGAAGAAATGAGGATGTAGTTTACCAAAACTCAACTTTTCTCAATTCTATTCTCCCCAACAAAAATAGTTTCTCATCTTCTGTTACATGTCTTTCATCCTAGACTTCTACACCCTTTTAGATATCAAAACAATATGTGTCTTTCATTGCTTATTCTAACTCACTTCTCTCCCTCTGTCCCTCAAATATCTTCTTCATGTCTTTCTCATCCACCAAAACCACCATCCAGAACCCTGTCATGGCACTTATCATTTTTTTGTTTATTACATAAACATATGTAAGTATTATACTTTTCAAACCACCACCCTCACAATGCACAAAATGAAAAGATACTTGTGAGTTGAGAATGTATTGAACAAGCTCTCATATACCACATGTGAAAGTAATTTATTTTTAAAAATTTTCTTGATGTAAAATGTGTATCCCAATGTTTAATGAAATGTATGTATGTGTATGTGTGTAGGTGCATTTTTCCAAATCTATCATAAGCTGATCTATATGTAGATATATGAATATAATAAGGGTTTTTTTCAGGGCTGGTACATTGGGGTGTTTATGATCTTTATGGGCCTTAAGCTCTGTTTTCTTAGTAAATTTTAGTCAACTCAATTTTTGTTTCTTTAGCAAAATAATTTTTATATTTTTTCTTTCTTTTTTTTCTTTTTGGTAAAATAATTTCTCAGTTCCTTAGCTTCTATAAATGAAGTTAATGGAAGCTAAATGCCATCAGCATATTTGCAAGTAGACTT